TGTTGCCCAGGCAGGTCTCGAACTCCTGGGCTCAGGCAATCCGCCCGCCTTGGACTCTCAAAGTGCTAGGATTACAGGCATGAGCCACCGTGCCTGGCAGGAGCTAAACTTGATGAGAGGAACAGAAGAGAGCCACACTTGGGCTCAGAGGCAGGGTGCTCAATCTCCTGCACATCGTGGGATGCACCACTTGGGCTGCTGGGGGTAGGCGGATGAGGGTAGGGGGAGACGTGGGGGCCCCATTGGTGGTCACTGTGGGGTCTAGTTGGAGGAGATAGTAGCTCAGCTGGGGTGGAGAGGAGAGGCAGACACAGGACATAGGTAGGGACAAAGAAGCAGAGCATGTGGCTCTGCTCCACCCTCCACCCAATCATGACGACCCTGTCTTTCAGAAATTCCCACTGCCTCATTCTGGCTTCTCAGAGGCGCTCAGCCTTCCTTGAGCCCCTGGTGCTGGTGTTCCTCCTGCTGCCCCTGAGCTGAGTGCCCTGGGCAGCAGTGTCCATCCTCAGCCGGGGCAGAACCGTGCCTGGGAGAGTGCCTGGTGCTCAAGGGTGCCTTCCTCTCTTGGGTCTGGGACCCCAGAAAGCTCGCCTGTCCTCCCCTTCTGCCAGAGCCCCATAGTCCTATGCCTCTGTGCAGGCATTAATGTCCCCAGGTTACAGAAGAGCGAGCAGAAAGGAGTAGCCTGTGGCCCCTCAGCAAGGGTGTGGGGTCCTGCTTTAATACCCAAGCCCCTGACTCTAGGGCCCTGATCTTTGTCAGTTATGCCCCCATTTCGGGCATCAAAAACTTACCCTCCCAAGGTATATTCACCTTCCCTGATCTGTCATCCAGATTGGACCAGAAGAGCTAGACCTGGAAGAATCACTTCCGTGTCCACCACGGACAGAACTGTCAGGAGGGAAGGGCAGGGCACGTTGTCTCACACCTTTAATCGCAGCAGCCTGGGAGGCTGAGACAGAAGGATTGCTTGAGGCCAGGAGTTTAAAACCAGCCTGGTCAACATGGCAAGACTCCATCTCTACCAAAAAAAAAAACCAAAAAACTAAAAAATCAGCCAGGCACAGTGGTGTGTGTTTGTAGTCCCAGCTACTGGAAAAACTGAGGTTAGAGGATTGCTTAAGCCCAGGAGGGCGAGGCTATAGTGAGCCACGTTCGTACCACTGCACTCCAGCCTGGGCCACAGAGTGAGACCGCATCACTAAAAATAAATTTTTTTAAAAAGGAGGAAAGGGGTCTCCCTTTGTCTTTGAAATACAGCATTGTATCCTCATCTGGCC